TTGTTATATCCTCTTTGAAGTTTTATTTTTATTGAGTTTGTGTTCTTACTACATAAAACACTTGTGGAAATGTTCCTTCCTTTGGGTTATGTTCTTTTGAGGATTGGCTTCCGTTTTATTTATATTCATATACCTTTACATATATAGAGAGAAATACACGTGTATATATGTACATGTGCACACGCACTCATAATTTTTTACTTTCCTTTTTTTTAGCCTGGTGGTTTTCTCTGTTGATATTTTTGGCTATTTTCTTTATTTTTGCTTACTTTCTCTTTTGTCTACCATATTGTTGGTGATCTTTTACCTTTTGGTTCTAGGGTTCCATGGCCATGGTTCTAACTACTATATTAATTATGTGTTAGAGCCTGTTCTATATCTGAAGGAATGATAAAGGAGGGAATAATGTGTGGCATAGGAGAGATTCTCTCAGTTTGGGCTCAACTCTGTATTGTGATACTGTGTTAAATACTCGTACCAGAAGTTATTACGCCTATTGGGGGAATATGCCCCATGGCGAAACAAATTCCTACAGTTCCAAACTCCATTTCTCCAGTTCCGAACTCACTTTTCCCTGCTTTCAGAGCATGTCAGCCCCAGCATCCATTTTTACTTCTACTCAGATGGATTAGGGAAATATATAAGGATTCTCATGTCATAGTTAGCTTCTCACCTGATTTCAGAATATTAATGGAAGTTCTAGAGATTATTTTCAGCTCATTTTATGGCATATATGGTGGTAGTAAGACTAGGAGCTGGTTCTCCTCTCTTAGCTTTGCTATAGAATTTCATTTATTTATTTGGATGCTAATGTATTTTAATTTCATGGTATTAAATTTTTCCCTCCCCCTTTATTTTTTATTACTGAAGAATTTTTGAAGAGGTACTATTTTTTGATCATTTGATTTTATCTTATAGTCAGAAGGTTGTTACAAGTCATCACCCTATTGTCTTTACCCCAAGGTCCTGAAGCTTCACTCTAATTGAGTAGAGGTTTTTGTCTCACTTAAGTCTTTGCTTTCATGTCTTTATTTAAACAAAATGTTTTTATTATTTAGTTTTTTTTAAATAAATTTTATTTTTTAAGGATGTTTTAGATTTATAGAAAAAATGTGAAGATGGTGCCGAGTTACCATATAACCTGTACCCAGTTTTCCATGTATTATTAACAGCTTATATTACTGTTGTACATTACAAAAATAAATGAACCAACATTAATACATTATTATTGAAAAAAGTCTATACTTTATAAAATTTTCTTAATTTGTACCTAATGTCCCTTTTCTTTCCCAGGATCCATCCAGAATACAACGTTGCATTTTGTCCTCATGTCTCTTGAGGTTTCCCTTGGTTGTGACAGTTTCATAGACTTGACTTGTCAATGATGACCTCAACAATTTTAGGAGTACTTGTAAGAGGTTTTGTAGAATGTCTCTCTATATGAGTTTATATAATGTTTTTCTGTGATTAGACTGAAGTCATGAGGTTCAGAGAAGGAGACGACAGAAATAAAGAATAATTTTCATTATGTCAAGAATGCATACTAACCACTGTTGATGTTGATCATGATTATTTGGATTAGGTGGTGCTTGTCAACTCTCCATTCTAAAGTTACTCTCCCCCCCCCCCCCTTCCCATACTATACTTCTTGGAAAGAAGTCACTGTACACAATGCACCTTTAAGGACTTGAGGATGGAATATCTACATATATTATTTGGAATTAGTTTGCGTGGCAGATTTTTCTTTTCTACTCTATGTGTTGGTTTATTCTATCATTTACATCAGTAAAGACCTGTGGTATTTTAATATTTATTATAATCCAAACCTTATTTCGTTGCTCAACTTGTTCCATCTTTGACCATTGGTGCTGGTTTAGTTGGCTTATGTGCTCCTTGGCAAACTCCCATCACTATGAGTTTTCCCCCCGGTACTTTCTTCTTGTGTTTATCTGTACCAGTTACAGAATCAGCCATTTCTCCAAGGGTACCTGGTTCCTTTTATTGGAGAATGGTATTATAAACAAAGAACTGAGCACCAGTTGTGTTCATTATTACTGGGGTGTCGTTACTTCTAGGGTTTCTCAGCTGACAGAACAAAGTTAGTGAATATGTACTAACATAACTTGTGTATATACTACAAATATTTCTGTATTTATAGACACCCTTATTTATTTATAATATAGATATAGATCTATATTAAGGGTAAACATTCATGCTGATGTCTCAAACTATAATCATCATCATTTGGGTTATTCAAGCCTCTTCCCTTTGCTTATCTACGAATTCACATCCCAACCCACTGAGAAATCTGGCTATCACTACTGGACATCCATTTGCTTAATTGTTCAAGTTCATTATGCACATATAGCAAAATCAGAATTTTTAACCCATACCTCCATGGAAAACAGCTTTATTAGCTACATTAAAATGACTATATATAGTTTCTTTTGTCTTTAGTTTTACATACTCCACTCATTTCTAAAGTTAATTGGGCCATAAACATTTCTTGCTTCCCTTTAGTGTGGTTTTTCATACAGTTGTAATACAATTAGATTGTTTTGTCACATTCTTCATTCCATACTGAAATTTCCCCTAATCTCCTACATGATTTTATAATTTTTTTTTATGCATTAAGGTTAATTCTTTGTGTTGTAAACTTTCATGGGTTTTGATGAATTTATGTTATCGTGTATCCACAATAACAGAATCATACAGAATAGTTTCACTGCTGTCAAAAATGTCCTGTGCCTCACCATCGTAACCCTCTTCCACTCGCCCTCTATCCCTGGCAAACGCTGATCTTTCACTGTCTCTATAGCTTTGCCTTTTTAGAATGTCTCAGAGTTGGAATTATACAGTACATGGCCTTTTCAGGAAGCATTATACTAAGGAAAGTGGCTCCTTTCACTTAGCATTATACTTTTAAGATTTATGTGTTGCTTCTTCATTTATTTACTTATTTCTTTTGATTACTGAATCATATTCTGTTGTATGAATACACACTACAGTTTATTTATCTAGTCACTTGTTAAAAGATAGCTTAGTTGCTTCTACTTTGTGGTGATTATAATTAAAGCTGCTATAAACAATAATGGGCAGACTTTTATGTGGACATAAGTTCTCAAATCATTTGGGTTAATACTTAGGAACGTGACTGCTGGATTGCATGGCAGACTATGTTTAGTGTTTAAGAAATTCCAGGAAATTTTTGTTAACTCTTGAATTTTCTACATGGGCAATAACATCACCTGTGAAAAAAGTACTTGTATTTCTACATTTTCTTTCCTTGTATTTTATATCTTTTTTTTTTTTTGTCTTGTTACACAATCTAGATTTGACATTATTATGCTGTATAAGAGTTGTTAGAGAGGACACTGATTCTTGGTTCCTGCTCTTAGGAAGAAAGTATCCAGTGATATTTTTATCACTATTAAGTATGATGTTAGCTGTCATATGTGTGTGTGTGTGTGTGTGTGTGTATTCATATATATATGATATGCTATTATTTTTGTTATATGATTTTTATCAAGTTGAGAAAGTTCATATCTACTTATACTGTTCTGAGAGTTTTCACAATGAATGGGTGTTAACTTTTGTAAAATGCTTTTTCTGTATCTATTGATGTGATCATGTGACTTCTTCCTTAGTCTCTTGACATAGTGTGTTACATTATTGGTTTTTGAGTGTTGGCCCAGCTTTGCATACCTGAAATAAATCCCACTTGGTTATGGTATACAATTTTTTTGTATATTGCATTTAATTTCCTGATAGTTTGTTGATGATCTTTTACATCTGTGTCATGAGAGATACTGATCTGTAGTTTTCTTGTAATGTCTTTGTCTTGGTTTGGTTAGAATAGTACTCTTCTTATAGAATAAGTCAGGAAGTGTTGCCTATGCTCCTGTTTTCTGAAGAAAATAGTGGACAATTGGTGTCATTTATTCCTTTGATACTTGGTAGACTTTATTAGTGAAACCATCTGCGTTTGGTGCTTTCTTTTTGGAAAATGTATTAATTATTTAATTTATTTCATAGATATAGGCCTTATAAGATTAATTTTCCTTGCGAGTTTTGGTAGTTGGCATCTTTTAAGTAATTGGTTCATTTCATTTAAGTTAACAGATCTGTGCCCAATAAGTTGTTTATAGTATTCCTTTATTCTTATTTTAAAGACCATAGAACTGGTAATGATAATTCCTCTGTTACATTTGTTATTTATAATTGTATCTTCTCCTTCTCTCTGTCTTTCTGTCTAGAGGTTTGTTAGTTTTTTTTAGCATTTCAAAGAACTAACTTTTGGTCACTGTTTCTTTCTTTTGATTTTCTGTTTTCAAATTTGTTGATTTCTGTTTTTATTTATTATCATTTCTTTCCTTTAGCTTGTTCAAATTGCTTTTTTTGCTCTAGCTTCCCATTGTGGATCTGAGATCATTATTTTTATTCTTTATTATTTTATAATATGTGACTTAATGATACATATTTTCCTCTGAGCACCCCTTTTATTGCATTTTCAAATTTTGGTAAATTATATTTCTAGTTTTGTTCAAAGTATTTTAAAATTTCCCTTGAGAGATTGATCCATATGCAACTTGTGCTATTTAATCTCTAGATATTTGAGGATTTTCCATCTATCTTTCTTTTAGAGGTTTCTAGTTTAATTTTGGATTGACAATATACTTTGTATAATCACTGTTTTTTTTTTAACTTGTTATGGTGTGTATTATAGGCCAGAATATGGTCTATCTTTGTGAATATTCCATGTGAGCCTAAGAAGAATGTCTATTTTCTATCTTTTGAATGCAGTATTCTATAAATATCAGATCAAGTTGAATGATGGTGTTGCTCAGGTCATTTCTATTATAAGTAATTTTTGGTCTAATTGCTCTATCAATTACTGAAAGAGAGGTGTTTGGCTTCTCCAAATATAATGGTGGGTTTATCTATTTTACCTTGTAGTTCTACTAATTATTGCCTCTTTTGTTTTTGTACCCTGTTATTAGGTGCATACAGATGAAAGATTATTGTATCTGGAATACTACATGGCAATGAGAAAAAATGAAATCTGGCCTTGTGTAGCAATGTGGATGGACCTTGAGGGCGTTATGCTGAGCGAAATAAGTCAGGCAGAGAAGGACAAATATCATATGTTTGCACGTATAGGAGGATTAGGAGGAACTTAATGGAGAACCATGGGGGAGAAGAAGGGGGGACATGGTGGGGGAAAGGGGGAGAGGCAAACCATGAGAGACTCTTGAATGCTGACAAAAGCTGAGGACTGATGGATGTGGGGGGTAGGGGGGGGATGGGCATGGAGAGGAGCACTTGTGGGGATGAGCACTGGGTGTTATATGGGAACCAACTTGACAATAACTATTTGTAAAATAAAATAAAATAAAATAAAATAAATAAACTTAAAAAAAGTTTAAAAAAAAGATTATTGTCTCTTCTTGGAGTACTGACTGTTTTATTATTCTGAAATTCCTTTCTTCACCCTTGATATATTTTCTACTATGAATTATGTTTTGTTTGAAATTACTCAAGCTTTCTTTTTATTAGTGCCAGTTGAGTATGTATTTCCCCATCTTAGTATTTTAAGTGTAGCATATAAAATCTTTTAATTTATTTATCACTTATTTTACTATTTATAAAAATGTTATATATGTTTAGTACAGAAAGTTAAGAAAATGAAGAAAAATGATAACATTATCCACAATCACACTACACAAAGTAAAATTTTGGATAAATTTTTAATGTCTTTTTCCTTGTGACTTTGTTTTCCCACTATGAGTACATGTAAATTGAATGTATATTGAGATTCAGATGTACCTAGGGATGGGATAGCTTTAAAAAAAACAGTAGGAATAGCCCACAAGAAGTTTCCACTAATTAGAAGATGAAGAGACTTCAAATATTGCTTATTTTTTTAAATAGTAAGCACATAAATAAAGCACCATATTTACAAGGATATTCATTGATTATATTCTTCAAACTTTGACTCTGAACTTATTATTTCTCTGGTCCTAGAAATAAAAACTTTAATACTTTACTGTATATTAATATTAGAATATATTTTGTGTATATTGAATAATAGGCAGCTTTAAAAAAATACAGGATTCATGTACTATAAACACTGTCCTGCCCAAGTCCTTGAAATATAATTATGTATCTCAGATGATTTTCCATTTAGGTTGTTTTCAGGGTTTTTATGTTATAAATACTGATGCAATGAATATCATGCACACATTACTACATACAAATAAATATAGACCCCTTATAACTATATTTGTATCTATATTCTATACGTAGAACATATTCCTAAACATGAGATTCCTTAGTAAATGTGTGGGTATATGCTTTTAAATTTTGATAGATACAGATGTCATTGAATTTATACCATTAAAAGCCAACTATATTACATTCTTAAGAAACACATATGAAAATACCTTTTTCCACAGCTTTGTCAATATGGTGTGTATGAGATTATTATATTAACATTTTATCTAACAGTTATGCTATACATTATAGTTATATTGCTCTAAAAGAAAGCTTTAAGAACCATATGTAAAAGAAAGCTTTAATAACCATATGTATAGTTATATTGCTCTAAAAGAAAGCTTTAAAAACCATGTTTTTCTCTGAGCCAGTTATTCATACTCTTTATCCATGTTTCTATTCTTTTGGTTTTACCATGGGACTTCTAGAAATTCTTAGCAAAACTTAGACCTCTGTGATATGTGTTGGAAGCTTTTTGTTAGGTTTGTTTGTTTTTTGCTATGTTGGAATTTAAATTTTTTATGTAGTCCAATTCAATTCCCTTCTTGTATGTCTCTGTGCTTTGTCATACTTAGGAATGCCTTTTAAATTCTGGTGTTACCAAAGAAATTTCCCTGTAGTTTCTTCTGGTCATTTATGATTTCTTTTTTCTTTTCTTTTTTGAAAATTATTTTATCCATTAGGTTTTTATTGTGCTGTAAACTATGAGGTACCAATCCAACCTATTTTTTCAGATTGCTTTAAATTTTTCTTAGAATCATTTCTTCAATAATGAACATTTTTAATTGTTTTAAACACTCCTCTGACTATCAAATTCCCATATGTGATTGAACCTACTTCTGGATATGCTACTTTGTTCTCTCGGTCTGTGCAAATACCACAAAATTACATATATAGTCTTGCACAGATTTAACATATCTGTGTGTGTGTGTGTGTGTGTGTACATACACACAGACAATAGTTGTTTGGGATCCTTCTTTCCTTAGTCTTTATGTTGAGATATAAAACTAGTGTGCCTTCTTAGATTCTCAGCTTTTCTGTCTGTCTGTCTTTGTTCTCTGCTTTGGGTGTCGTCTTACCTTAGATGGTTTCCCTCTCTTTTGGGATATGAATGAAACACCATAGTGTGGGAGTCAGATTTTTTTACTCGTCCCAAGGGGCTGAATAATGCAACCTGGAAGTGCAGGGAGGTTAGTTCCCTAAAACCATTGTAAGATGAAGGAGGGCCAGACAGATCAATTACCTTTCGGCAATTGTAAACTGTCTCCTTGTAAATCTTCCACATGAATTTCATGGATAGGGGTGCCGTATAGTGAGTGTAAAAAGCACACATGGAATTTGTTTCATAAAGATCATAAGGCCTCAAACTTTTTTTATTTTTGTCTATCATTGTGACATTCCTTGTTCTATTGGTTTCATAATGACATTGGCAATATGTAATGAAGTCTGAATTGGTGTATTTACCAAAAAAATGTTTTCTGGATTTAAAACAGGAAGGACAATCTTATACAGATTGTTGGAATATCTGGAATATCTGGTTCTGAGTGTTTCATGGCAGGAATATATTACTTGCATACATGTGGATTTTCCAGTCTGTTAGTAAAAATCTGTTAGTAAAAATATCCCTCCTTTCTTTTTCCTTGTTCTTGTCCTTTTCCTCTCTCTTTCCTTTTCTTCTCCTTTTTTTCTTTTTTCTGGTCACCCTGGCTGACCAAAATGCCTCTTTTCACCCGAACGACTGCATGTGTTGCTTCAGACTTCCAGAGGCCAAGAAGGACTATGACCTGAGGATCCTAGAGCTAGCCCACTCTTAGTTAAGATTCATAATAAGGGGAGGAGAAAGACAGATACAGCAGAGACAGGGGTAGGGGTGAGGGGTGGAGGGATCCCATCAGACCAGGGACAGAGGCAGAAGGGCAGGTGAAAGACACTGAAATGGAGCCAGAGACAGTGGGGATGAAGGTGGAAAGAGAGACAGACATTCACACTGGATTCCTTCTGGGTCTCCTGCAAGGGCTTCCTGCTTTCACCTGGTTGCTCCCACACTGCTTTCCTCTCCATTCTCTTCTATCATTTTGCATCTTTTCTCCAACCATTTTCATTCTTTCTTAAGTCCTATAATTATCACGAGAAATCCCCCATTCACTAAGAAGACCCGCCATAGTAGTTGATATTACTCAGAGGTTGGGTCATACTCATTGATCTTTTTCTATGGGTTTGGCTTCGTGCTGGACACTGAGGAAGAACAGATGTGAATTTCAGTGAAAAGTATAAGACACTGTCTGTCTCTATCAGGAGTCTGGCAGATTCTGCTATGGAAGCTGACTCAAAAGGAAGTAATATAACATTTTTACTATGTCGGTGGCTTCTGTCTCATAATGTCACTTGCTACATGTAGCCACATGGGGTGTTTTGGACTTTCCTCTCTAAACAGTGATTCTGGGTATTGGGGCCATATAACACTGGCTTTGTCAATAAATTGTTTCCTTTTATAATGAAAAAGCTATGCATTTTATCATTGTAGCTGATTGGATGCATCCCATAACCCAAGCAAGTGATTTTGTAGATACTTTCTCTGTTTTTGATGTTCAACCTCGTGGATTTGAACCTTGGGAGGAAAACTTATTAAAAACATACTCAAGTGTTTTTTGAGAAAAACCAATAGATCTCCCATGACATGCTTGAGAAGGTACATGCTACAAGATGAATTAGCTTAGCCATGCATGCAGTTCTGTGACAGTGACAAGAAGGAAAATGAAATTTTGTGTTCTGAGGCAGCTAAGAAATTGTGGGATGAGTGGGGGTGCTGCATACTTGTGTTTATTATCTCCATTGGCTGTGTATGAATGCTTACGAGGCAACTTCTCCACAAAATGTTGTCCTTAGGTGTTTCGAATGGTGGTGGCTGTAGGTGATGACTATAGGCAATGGGCATATTACTTTGCTAGGGCTCCCATAACAAAGTACCAGAGATGGCGTGGCTTAGACCACAGAAATACATTTCCTCACAATTCTTGAGGCTAAGGTCCAAGATCAGGGTGTCAGCAGAGTTTATTTTTTCTGAAATTCTCTCTCCTTGGCTTGTAAATGGCCCCCCTCTTCCCTGTGTCTTCACATCGTCTTCTCTCTCTCTCTCTCTCTCTCTCTCTCTCTCTGTGTGTGTGTGTGTGTCCTAATCTCCTCTCCTTATGAATAAAGATTCAACTCATACTGTATTATGAGGCCACTCAATTTACTTAATTTAACCTTAAATACTGCTTTAACATGTTATTTCCAAATATGCTATGATGTTCTGGGCATTAAGACTTCAACATATAAAGTTTGCAAGGACACAGTTCAGTTCATAGCACTGGTGGTGAGGTCTGAGGCTGATTCTTTGGCTGGGTAAGTATTCAGTGTTATGGTGACAGCTGTAAAGTTAGAGATGATATGAATTGATGTAGAATGTGTTCCATTTGATCCTATCCCATCTTGAGTTGGGTAATCCCCCTCATCAGGTCTTTAGTGTTACATTACCAACTCCTTGGTCAGCATCACTTCTGTATTTTGTATCTCCCTTTAGCATTACTGATACATATTTGCCATAATATATCACAGTGACAAGGTGCATTGGCAGGCTCACTCTACCACCACTAAAATCCACTCTTATTTTCAGCTGAATGCCAGTATGCCTGAAATCCACCATAGATACGTTTCTTTCCCCTTTAAGTCATTGACAAAGTTGTTTTCTTTGAGCACCTGAAACTCCCTCTCCTTGAATCTCCATTTCTCCTTCTCTAGGACTTGTAGCTTCATTTGTTCATTTCTATGTGTTTAGGTCTCTGTTACTCTT